ATCATTTTAGAATATTATGCATCTGGTTTCTCTACTCTTAGGATTGTTTAAGACAAGCTACTTCTTCGTTATGTACAGTTTAAATATTGTATGTTCTGTGGCTGAAATATTTTATACGTCATTTGTCTATACATCTATAATGCAAAGTCCAATTTACAGTTTTTACTCCTTAAATTGGTTATGATATAGATTTCCAAGTGCATATGTGTACCTTACCACATGTACACTTTAGAACTTATTCCACACACACCTCCGGTGTCTTGTTCTCACATTTATTTCTACATAAAACATATTGTTCAGATTGTCAATTCACACAAATACAGAAATTTGCAAGAAATAAATTGAGAACCGTAAGTTTTGTTGTTATGTTATCCAAGCTCAATGAACTATAAACTTACGTCATGCCAAAAAAAACAACAAGAAATATCATGTTTTTTCACCTTCATTCCGGGAAGAGTGAATTTATCGACATGTATTAGTAAACGAGTATGTGTATACATATCAAAAAATGCAAATTTATAAAGGAATTATTATGATCCTTTCATTTAGTACTATTGTTCACCATTGTGGCATTATGGAAGTAAATAACAAGGGATATCAATATATTTAGAAGGGGCAAACATGGCGGCAAGCGGTCTGGTCGACATGTTTTGCGGCGAGTTGGTTCTTCACGACGTGGCGCTCCTCAAGCTCCATCTCTTCCTTCATCGTGAGCTCGCCTCAACCAACTCCCATGACTCAAGCTCAACCTCCGGCTCCTCTCACTCCTTCATCTCCTCCTCCTCCAACCTGGGGCTCGACGAGGACAAGGGCGCGGGCATGGCCATGCCAACTCAGTCCTCCGTTGCCACAAGAGCATCCCCGGGACGGTGGCCTTGCTTTGGACCATGGCGGGTGCCGACAACGGGAGCTCAATTTGGGGGCAGGAAGCGATGGCAGGAGGCCAATTTTGGCCGAGGTGGATCGATACATCCTTAATAACCCGGGTAACTCTACAAGATGGAATGTGGCAAGGTTTGTAAGTGCATGTAGTGCCACCCCTAGTTGGTTTTGGAGTATTGACGACAAACATGGTTGAGGGACTAATGTGTTTGTGAGAATT